GCTCATTAGTTGAAGAAGAATTGCTATTGTATGCGCTTGTTTGCACGTCCTTTTCTGAAAAAAGTCTACAATATTAAGGCTAAATAGCAGAAAAATATGACCCAATAATCCATGCAACTAAAAATATCTATCAAATTAACTTCAAAAATCATGATTTGAGGAATTATATCTATTCAGGCAACCAACCCATAATTTAGTGACAGATCTTGGGTTTGGTGTGCTTCAAAACTATATTGACCGAAGTTTTGGAAAAATGTAGCCAACTTTTGAAGGATTTTATTAGGTCCAGTTCACATGAGACTGGAACGAAGTCAATTAACCGGGACCATTTCGTTTTGGTCATTATATTATATATAATAGATGTTTACACGAGGTCTCAAGTCATTCCGCCTGCTGGGCCAAGCCGACTGAGTCAGACCAGTATGAATTCAGACTGGAATGAATGTTGACATTGGAACAAGTGAACAACACATGCTAACAAAAGTCATCTAAAAAAGAAAATTGCCTGGCAAGGGGAATAAATTGAAAATTTTGTGATTTTCATTCTGGTCTCATGTAAACATGTTGACATGCAATTTCAATTTTCATTCCAGGTTGGTTTCATCCTGGTCTCATGTAAATGGGGCCTTACAAACTGTGATTCAGTATCATGGGATGGGATTAGGGGCCTGTTTATATGATCCCGGCCAGGCGGGACGGGATGCTTACCGAGATCCCGCTCGTAATACAAATGCTAAAGAGTGTTTATATTATCCCGCCACTTATCCCGCCTAGACTGGATTTCGGCAACAGATGAAAAATTCCCATATAAAAACACTTCATCCTGCCTAGCCGGGATGAAAAATTCCCACATAAACACTTCATCCCAGTTAGGCAGAACGAATTTTTCCCTTTTGGGCATGCGTAAATGCCTTTATTGCAACAAAAATATGACGTCAAGCACCGAATGGTTTTATCCTGGCAATGTATTTTGTCCATATAAACACTAGGTGAGTATCCTGTCTTGGCGGGATGAAAACGTCCCGTCTCATCTAGGCGGGATCATATAAACAGGCCCTAAGAAATTGAAAGATTTTATAAGCGAGCAATGCTTAAAAGCAAGATATATAAACAATGAAAGAAATGGCACTAACAGAGCAACAACTTCTCCAGAAGTGTAAAATTCCATGATACTGAATCACAGTTTACAAGTCAATCCTTCAAAATTTAGTTAAATGTTTCAAAACTTCAGCAATATAGTTTTCTAGTACACCCATCTTAACGGTTCCTTTCAGCTGTCACCTTGCCAAGACTTGTCAGTCACTAAAATTATGGGTTGCTTGAATAGATATAATTCCTCAAATCATGATTTTTGAAGTTAATTTGATAGATATCTTTAATTCCATGGATTATTGGGTCATATTTTTCTGCTATTTAGCCTTAATATTGTAGACTTTTTTAGGAAAGGAAGTGCAAACAAGCGCATACAATAGCAATTCTTCTTCAACTAATGGGCAACAATTTCTAAATAGCAAATAAGCTGTTTAGCTGAATGACTGTATGGGTATGGACTATGGATAGCTCTTTCATGGGCTCTGCTCAGTTGGTATGTTGTAACTTATGTCGAGCCATTGCAAGTGAATTTAACAAAGCCAGCGAACAAAATTGAAAAAAATATACACGATTTAGTTGCACATTTCAGCTTGGAGTTTGGTACTATTTGAACTGTCAATTCGACCTCGAACTTTGAAAGGTTCAAAACCTATCTGTCTCATGTTTGCTCACTCTATAATTTTGTATACGCAAAGGTTTTTATCATAACTTAATAACAAATTATAATTTAGGTTTTGGAAATCATTGGTTTTTTATCAGGAAGCAGTGCGCGCTAACACTCTCGGACAACATTTCGACGGCCATTTTAAACCACCAAATTAAACAGAGTATATAAATAAAATAACACCCGAAATAAAGTTTTTTGTTACTTAAATCTTATCTTTAAGTTTCTTATAATAGCTAAAAGTAACAAAAACATATAAATTTTACACAAGTAATATTTTATAAAGCAATAGTTTCAGCATACCTTCTGATGGGTCATATACGCGTAGCCATATTTGTTTACAATTAGAACGTCTTACCCCCCGCGAAGCCCGCATCGCGGATGGTCCGCTCGATGTATGGCCGTTTCTACGCCCTCTCTCCCTTCGCCCTGATGAGAACTTATCCTGGAATGTTCATATTGAGAAACTGAGTAAAAAAGTTGCTTCCGGTATTGGTGCACTAAAACGCATTAGACCTTATGTTCCCTTTACCACAATGCAACTTATTTACAAGTGCTTAGTTCAACCATATTTCGACTACTGCTCTGCTGTCTGGGATAGTTGCAGTAGTTATCTAGTTAACAAATTGCAAAAATTACAAAATCGTGCTGCCAGGCTATTGACATCTTCTAGTTATGATACAAATGCCGATTATCTTTTCGAAAGTCTTGGATGGAAAAATCTTGTATCTCAGCGTAGGCTTACCAAGGCTATCATGGTGTATAAATCCTTGAATGGTCTTGCTCCAGATTATCTTTCTAATATGTTTGTTGATCGCAATAGTATCACAAATTATGCATTGAGAGACACCAGTAACAAACTAGCTTTGTCACTACCGCGTACTAATTACTTGAAAAATAGCTTTAGTTATAGCGGTGCAGTACTGTGGAATTCTCTTCCTACTGAGTTAAGACAGGCTAGTACTTTACATAAATTTAAGTCTGACTGTAGCAACTTTATTCAATAATTTTTAAATATTTTATCAATTTAATGCACGGCACTCATGAAAAACAGGTAGTTTTGTAAATATGTATAGTATAATTTATCATATATCTAATTTCCTTTGTTACTTTATCATAAGTGTGTAAAATCCTGATGAGTCCACCGTGACTAAATAAAGTTCAC